TCTGAGTCTCCTGCTTATAAGTCCTCGGTTCTCTCCTGCTGCGAACTAGGTCCTCTGCGCTTCTCCACCTGCTCTGGCCTCTGCTGGCGTGTTCTCTTGCTTTCATTACCCATCCCAAAGGAGGTGGCCCAGGGGTGCCACGGGCCCCGCCCCAATCCTGAGTGTTCCCACCCCCATCCTGGAGGTTCCAGCGGGTCACCTTGTCTGTCATACTAAAGCGGTCCCCACACATTCATTCATTCATTCGTTAGCTCTCACCCACTGATTATTTCTTAGGCCTACCTTGGACCAAGCGCTCTTTACCAACCCCTGACACAGATGGAGAAACGCGAGGCTAAGCGCCAGGAGCCAGGAGCCAGGCCCGCAGACAAAGCTCAAGCCTTTCCCTCCATTCAGTCCCTGCCCCCATCTGTACCTCTGGTGGTGACACTGAGTGACCCTGGTGTCTTTGTGCTGGGTGACCTTAAAGCTGTAAGGAAAGGCAGACGAAAAAGCCCTTCTAGTTGATGAACGACCTGTGCTTTGCAAAGGGTAAAAGTTGCCGAGAAGGTGAGGCCTGTCCCTGAGAGGCCATCCGATGGCCTCTTCTGTACATGTTGGCTTAGCGCCTCCCCCACTGTGTCTAGAGGCCTAGTCCTGCTCAGAGTAACTGCAAAGCTCAGGCTGACCTGCTCACTCCGTTAGGGACTCCAGCCCACATCTCCTTTATTATCCCATTTAAACTTCACAACAATTCTAATGAGGTCCTTAGAATCTTTACCCCCACTTTACCGATGAGGAAACTGAGGCTCAGCAAGGGAAAGATAGTCGCTAGAGGTCACATACCTAGTCAGAGAGGGAGTTTATGCAGAGAGTCTCATCTTGGTTGCTGTCAATTTAGGAGATTTTAAAACATAACAATGCCTGGGAACTAGAGATTCTGTTTTAGCTGAGAGAGAGTGTAGTGGAAATAATTTTGTCGTTGCTGTTTAAGTTTTCAGTGTTGTTGTTATTATTTTACTTTTCATTATAAAGATTTTCAAACATACGCAGTGAGGTCACCCAAAACAGGAGACAGAGAAAATGATAGAATGGACCCCCCATAAACCTGTCGCCTAGCCTCAATAGTGATCAACGCATGGCCGACCTTATTTCCTCTCGACCCCCTCCATCTTGCGTCCCCCATTATTTCGCAGTGAATACAGACATCTTATCATTTCTCTCCCTCAAGCCTTTGTCACTTCCAGCCGAGGTCTGAACCAATCCAGGGCTCATCCCTCTGCCCTGCCTCAGTCGAGGCTTGGTGAGGTTTAGGATATTGCTGAAGTTCAGGGAGTGCAGAGGAAAGCTGGGGTTGGAACCTGTTCCTATCAGGCCCAGAGCCCAAGTGCTTCACCCTATGCTGTGCTGGGGACCCCCCAAATCCCCAGGGGTAGTGAGCCCTCTCCACCCAGTGTGACCCCAGGGCTCGCCCAAGAGGTGCCTGGGTTGTGAAAAGACTCTTGCGCCCCCTGCTAGGCACCAGTGCCTGACAGGGACACCCACAGCACAACGGGCATTCTGAGAGTGAGGACAACTTTAAGCCACATAGTGCAGTGGAAAGAGTACAAATTTGGGGATGGGCTGATCTAAATTGAAATTCAGCTCCACCACTGGCTCAACTCTGGGCCTCGGTTTTCTCATCTGTAAAACAGAGACAATGATATTAACCTAATAGTGTTGTTGTGAGGCTCAGGTAAAAGAATAAATGTAAAAATGCCCAACCTACTGGCTGTCCTGCACTGGCTCTTAGTAAAGACAGATTTATTTCCCTCTTTTCTTCCCAAAGTCTCATTTCATTATGACCAGCACTCTTACCGCAGAACTAACTGCGGCGCGCAGGCTCGGATTCCCACTCTACCGCCTGGCCATCAGAGTGCCAGTAATTACAGTTTATCTTCTGATCTGACCCCTCTTTGCCTGTCCTACCTTATGTCTCACCAGTC